ATCACTTAGATCCTGTGCTTTTGAGGGGGTCTATGCGGAATCACTACCGTATCAACGTTTTATAATTGTATTGAATAACAAGGATATACGTACACGTTTACAATAAAGCTTAAAAATGATTATACTATATAAGTAGACATTTAAATAAATATGTGCTAGTTAACATTCTGCATTAACAACGGTGCAGTCTATTAAATATTATTTTACTTAGTATGCTATGATATTCGACAATTACATCGCAAGGACCTTAAAAAGATACATCAATCATTACTTTCTACTAGACGCTATTTTGAATACGTAAAGACATAAGCCATTTCAATAAAATTTTACCATCTATCGTGCATAAAGGCATTCTAGACGACCTCAGGAAAAAAAAAAAAATAGTGTTGATAATGATGATGATGGCGATAATTATAATGACGTTTTTAATGATAATGATAACGATAATAATAATAATGATGATGATGCTGATAATATTCATGATAATGATAATAATGTTGATGATTATGATGATAAGGGTGATCATGATAATAATAATGATAATGATAAAAACAATGATATTTACTATAATAATGATGATGATTATAATAAGAACGACACCAATAATAAGAATACTTTTAATTATTTTAAAAATGCTGACGATGACAATAATACAAAAAACAATGATGACAATGATATTGTCATTTGCAGTTTTATTTGAGCCAATTATGATAATAAAAATATTCGATGCAATAATTATAATATTCATATTTATATCGATAAAAATCATGACTATGATAATTTTTGAGTATGATGACAATNAAGCAAAAAAAAAAAATAATTTTGTGCTACAGTATTGCCAGATTATCGATAGAAAAAATTTTACACTTTAGTGTATAAGTATCCCGAGAAAAAATAAAATTATGACATCTTGTTTTCTTAATCAGGAATAGATCAGTCCCCGTTATTAATGTCTGATCACTCTTTTGTTCATTAAATTATTACCAGAAACTGCAAAAAAATGCACATTATATTAAATATCTAAAAGCAAGAGAGGGTCTTATTGTATATTTAAATTTCGAAAAAATACATGTAGAATTCAGAATAAAAGAAAGACATGATAAAAAAGTTTTTAAAAAAATGAAAAGTTTATGACGAAGGAAGCATGTCAATTAGATAATGATAACAGAAAGTTTAAGTATAAAGTAGAAGTATTAAAACAAACTAACTCTTTTGAAAAATCCCTATTTTTTGATACTAAATTGTAATGGAACACTTATCAGCGTAGTGAAAAGTCCCTGACAAGGGTACCTACATCCTCTAGAGATACAAAATAAACAACCATCAAAAATTTTTTAAAATCAATTCGTACAAAGAAAGCATACGCTGCGTTGTGACAATTCCACTGTAACAATCGAATGCCTACACACACTGTCCAAAACAAACGCAGATGTTATGAAAGGTGAATGAGCAGTTGAACTTAGTTTCTCACTGATATGTAAAGAACAAATCAATAGTCATACCATGCACTCGATTCCAGTTTAAAAAAATTTACACTCACATTTAAAAGGATGTGTTAGCATTGAGCTCGGATATAGTAATCTGATCGTTAGCAATAACCTCTAAAACTATTTCCTTACCAACGAAAATTTTTAGAATAAATACATTAAAGATAAAAAAATTTTATATTGCCAACCAGATATGACTCTTTTTAAAATAATACAGATAATCTTGCTTTACTGAACGTATTTTACAGGAAACTTAATTTTGTTGTAGGTAAAATACTTTCTGAGAGTTATGGAGAAGTTCAAGAGTATATAGAGATACTATATTAGTTTTAAGTTTTTAACATTTCATTTAAAAAAAGTATGTCAAAATCTTATTACAAAAGCAATATGATGATGAATCACTTTTAGTTACTACAGTTGTGTCTTTAGCTCGTCTTTCTAGCACATTTGAATTCAGTAAAACTTTTTTTTTGTACCATTTTATGTGTTTAAACAGTGGAAATCCGTACAAATAACAATAGTAATCAGTATGGGTAACTATCAGTATAGTAAGTAGTATAGTAATCAGTAGGGGTAACAAGAATACTATTAACTCTGGGCACCAGGTACCTCTAAGACCGTTTGTGTCGTGATATTTTCGCTTAGTCAACCTCAAAACCCCTGGATCATGGGTATAGACTTATTTAACTACTATTAGAAAAAGTATGAATTCAGTTTTCACAATTCATTTCAAATTGAATTATAAAATGGATATCATTTATTTAAAATGCATATCTCTCAATGTTCATTAGTAATTTAATACGATATAGTTTACTGTCGTTCCAATGAATCGATCGCATAAAACTACACTAAAATTTTATCTCATACACCTAACTTTTTGTGCTTTAGTGCCTCTTTGCTGTGACTAGCACAAGCCCTGAAACTACCTCCATTTCTGCAGCGTCATTTAGTTTTAACATCAATAATCGGAAATCTGTGATGGCCCTTTGCCATTGCCATTAAACTCATAGTGCATCTATTATTGTTGTGAAAAGATCTAGGGTGAACATTGCAGGACACTTAAATAGTAAAAATTAACATGTATTTGGTAACTGATTAAAAAATACTTTTTATTTATAATAAAAGTATACACCTATATCATACGTGATTAATACTTTAACTATATCGTGCATGTCGCTTATGACTTCTATGTAAAGTGACTAATTCAAATGCTTACGAAATTACAGCGCAGCTTCTCTATATCACTTATTTGTTGGCCTATTTAAAATAGTTTTTGTAAGCTTCCTCTATACTTCATAACTGACTTATAACAGAGGAAAATATATTTTAAACAGATTTTAAAGTGATTAGCGAGTAATATTGGGTTTTGATATGCTACTTATAAGATAGTTGCGGCCCCATAAAATCAAGAAGTTTTTGAAAAACTTCATTGTTGAGTTTTTAAAATAATCCTTAATCATTCCCTCTGTTTACTTTAATTAAACTGTCACTATGTCCTTGTAAATTTCTCTGATAATATATGAAAATTTTTTGACCAACAAGGATCCCTCGATTTTATCTTCAGCTTTATTGAAAATTTTTAGCTACCATAACAACATAAGTTAAGTTTTGTAAACTTGTTTTCTACAAGAGAAAAGACTTAACAATGTATTTTGATAATAAGATCTCTATAGTTGTATAATTTAAAATAACTCAAGCACTCTTGTTACATTCCAAACGGTGACACTTACTTTTGAAAAAATAAACTTTTCATCATAAAAAAATAAGGCTAATTTTATAATGAAAAGATTTAATTGTATTTATAACTTACATTACTATGCGTTGTGTTCCTGTCAGAGAGAGTGCACATTGTTTATTTGACACCGACCAGAAAGGGAGCCTCGTGATGGCTACTAACAAAAAAAAAACCTTGCACCATAAAAATATATTTTGTTGTACATTTATTATAAATGATAAATTTTTTTTTTTTTTTTTTTTTAATGTTAATATAATTGCCATAGCAATAAGCGTATTATCTAGTAAATCTGTTACTATGATTAGTTGAGAAAACAATTAAATCGTTGTTTTGGTGAATTTCTCGTTACAATTTACTTCGATTCATTTTATGTGCACAATGCACTCTTTCTTTAAAGAGGAAAAAGTGGCATTATACATTAAAGTTAAAGTGGATAAACTATTTTTTATGATGCTGTTGCATTTTGATGACTTCTCCCACTCCGTGTCATTGTGGCCTTAATATGTCACGATTCCTAGTATTAAGAAAAGAAACAATATAAGTATCAACAAGCGAAGAGAAATGTAATGTTTTATTTTCCCTATGAAATATTCATCTCAACAACGAGATTGTGGATCTTAAAAAACAAATGACAAGGTTAAGAATGCATTGACTGTTTCTTTTTTGAATTTGTTTTTACAACTACTTTAATATCAACGTCTTATCTTTAATAATAGCCTTATTGAGCTTTAAGCACTCCAAATCATTGCTAGTTTATTCTTTAACTTATATAAGATTAAATTTTAATAACAAATAAGCAGTGTGGAGATGCTTTTCTTTTGTTTTTTTTGAATTTTTATTTTGAAGGAGTAAGAGTCATAGGAAGGTATTGAAAAAGTGTTTATGCCATTGAGTCAATTCTCTTTAGTCATAATTTTCAGTTGAATTCAAGACAATGTTTCAGATAGTTGTCTTCTTTAGAAATGTAAATGTTTGTACTTTTTTTTAATGTTTAGAAAATAACTTGTTACTTTTGTCACTGGCTAGTACAATGAATTTTATAAGTCAGACGTATAGTGTACAATCAATGTACACCACTACTTGACATATTTTTTAAAAATAATATACTTGCATGAAGCAGTATTGATAGAAGAACTCAAAATTGTATGCACCTAAAATAGTATGATATGATAAATAATTAATCATTTTAAATAATGCTAAACAATTTGCACGAAATTAAAATTTTCTGTTTCCATCTTTCTAGGATAAGTAATAATAAATTTAAGTGTAGTATCATACGCTTATTAACAGTAATGTTATTTATAAATTCTTATTAGGGCCCTGAATCTCTTTAAGGGCGGTAAAAAATATATTACAAGAGGATGATGTGGGGGCTTGTAAAAAAGCACATATTATTATACTGTAAGGGACCTGGGGAAGCATAGGAAAGATGTGATGATAATAAACTCACCCTTAAGCACAAACAAGAGGATGATAATGGCATAGTGTTCAAAAAAACTTATGTGTCTATCAGACCTCAACAAGATCTTTTGATACTTAATACAAGCAAAGTTCAATGGATCGAAAACATTAATATGTTAATCACACTTTCATGGAAAAGCGAAAAGCATATCTAGATGTATTTAATCCTAAAAAAGAATTATGTATTATCTATGTCATATTATATACATTGTATAGTTTAACATGTTGAGTGTTATGTACTTATTTGTATAAATAAAAGATCTTTGTTTATACTGCTTTACTGAACGTATTTTACAGGAAACTTAATTTTGTTGTAGGTAAAATACTTTCTGAGAGTTATGGAGAAGTTCAAGAGTATATAGATATCTGTGATTATGCTGTTGGTCTATCAAGGATGTTACCAGGAAAAATTATTCCGTCAGAGAGGAGCCAACATATACTTATCGAAAACTGGAATCCTCTAGGAGTCATTGGAATAATAACAGCATTTAATTTTCCAATAGCAGTAAGATTTTGTAGTACATTTAGTCTACTGTTTTTTATATGCTAAACATAGAGTTTCTTGTATTTTATTCAAACCATAATTAGTCCTTAGGTGTAAGTTTTCAGTTGTAGTAATAAAATGCCCTACTGAGATTTAAAACATTGCACTGAAAATTTCTTTTAAGATACTGTTTTCTCGATTTCTTCGTTTAGTAGAATACATTTGCTCATGGAAATCTTTATGCTTCAAAACTTTCAACTCAGAAAATTTTCGAACAGTTTTAACAAACATGATATTAAGATGAAGTGCAAAATAGTTTTTTGCAGAAAATATAGCAAGTAGAAATAAAGATTTAAATTTAGAATTCAAACAAGCATCATACGCATTTTGTGTTTTCTCACATAACAAATCGCTACGAACATTCAAGAGTAACTCACAGCTTCTGTATTCACACAGTAGTTGTATGTAACACTCGCACAACGTGTCATCCCACTTAACTGATCCATACTCACTAGCCCACCCAAACAATGTATAAAGTAATTATTGCTCAAGAAATTGTTATACTAGAGTTCTAAGAATAAGGTTGTATAAACCTAACGAATTTAACATAAAGCTTGGCTCTCCTGTGTATGGTAGTGCAAGAGAAAACGCTGCAAGATGAAACCTCTGTTCATTTCTTCATCTCAATGGCCAAGCTCTCCTTCCACTTTATACTAAATAAGTGAGAGTAAGGGCCTTATTGCAGCATTTTATTTCACACTGCAACAAGCTCAAAAATATCTCTTTGCTATTTTAACTATATAGGGGATTTGGTAATACAGTAAGAGTCGGGTAGGTATGATTAGTCATCATTTTTTTATGTACTAGGGCTTAATATTCTCGTATAAGCACTGCTTAAATGTGTTATTCAGCCTTAAAAAATTAAAACATATATCTCAAGAAATAGTTTTTACACATTTGTATACATATTGCATGCTCGCGTGCTAGAAACGAATGTAAAATTGTGCAACTAATAGCGTTACTCCACGGGCCTGCCAAGCCATAAATCATTGCACACGACACTCTTCCGCTTACTTGACACAACTTATGTGCTGCCGTTGTAGCCAATCCACACTGACTGGTACAGAAAAAATAAGATTATCCAAGCCTTTAAAATTAAGAGCAAATCAATGCCATTTGATACACGTTTCATTCGTTAATTGCGATTCCTGCATAACTTAAAATTAAATGCTCAACCTCAGTGGTAATAAATTGAGTTTGTGCTTAGGTAAATTTGATAAATTCATACATAAACTAGGAATTCGTTATAATATATAAACTTAACAACTCATCTTCTAATAATAGAGTTTTTATAGTATTCTTTAAATATTCTCTAAATTAAAGAACGAGTTGGCAGTGGATGCTTGGGCACCCAAGTATAAAATTTTAATGTTAATATAATTGCCATAGCAATAAGCGTATTATCTAGTAAATCTGTTACTATGATTAGTTGAGAAAACAATTAAATCGTTGTTTTGGTGAATTTCTCGTTACAATTTACTTCGATTCATTTTATGTGCACAATGCACTCTTTCTTTAAAGAGGAAAAAGTGGCATTATACATTAAAGTTAAAGTGGATAAACTATTTTTTATGATGCTGTTGCATTTTGATGACTTCTCCCACTCCGTGTCATTGTGGCCTTAATATGTCACGATTCCTAGTATTAAGAAAAGAAACAATATAAGTATCAACAAGCGAAGAGAAATGTAATGTTTTATTTTCCCTATGAAATATTCATCTCAACAACGAGATTGTGGATCTTAAAAAACAAATGACAAGGTTAAGAATGCATTGACTGTTTCTTTTTTGAATTTGTTTTTACAACTACTTTAATATCAACGTCTTATCTTTAATAATAGCCTTATTGAGCTTTAAGCACTCCAAATCATTGCTAGTTTATTCTTTAACTTATATAAGATTAAATTTTAATAACAAATAAGCAGTGTGGAGATGCTTTTCTTTTGTTTTTTTTGAATTTTTATTTTGAAGGAGTAAGAGTCATAGGAAGGTATTGAAAAAGTGTTTATGCCATTGAGTCAATTCTCTTTAGTCATAATTTTCAGTTGAATTCAAGACAATGTTTCAGATAGTTGTCTTCTTTAGAAATGTAAATGTTTGTACTTTTTTTTAATGTTTAGAAAATAACTTGTTACTTTTGTCACTGGCTAGTACAATGAATTTTATAAGTCAGACGTATAGTGTACAATCAATGTACACCACTACTTGACATATTTTTTAAAAATAATATACTTGCATGAAGCAGTATTGATAGAAGAACTCAAAATTGTATGCACCTAAAATAGTATGATATGATAAATAATTAATCATTTTAAATAATGCTAAACAATTTGCACGAAATTAAAATTTTCTGTTTCCATCTTTCTAGGATAAGTAATAATAAATTTAAGTGTAGTATCATACGCTTATTAACAGTAATGTTATTTATAAATTCTTATTAGGGCCCTGAATCTCTTTAAGGGCGGTAAAAAATATATTACAAGAGGATGATGTGGGGGCTTGTAAAAAAGCACATATTATTATACTGTAAGGGACCTGGGGAAGCATAGGAAAGATGTGATGATAATAAACTCACCCTTAAGCACAAACAAGAGGATGATAATGGCATAGTGTTCAAAAAAACTTATGTGTCTATCAGACCTCAACAAGATCTTTTGATACTTAATACAAGCAAAGTTCAATGGATCGAAAACATTAATATGTTAATCACACTTTCATGGAAAAGCGAAAAGCATATCTAGATGTATTTAATCCTAAAAAAGAATTATGTATTATCTATGTCATATTATATACATTGTATAGTTTAACATGTTGAGTGTTATGTACTTATTTGTATAAATAAAAGATCTTTGTTTATACTGCTTTACTGAACGTATTTTACAGGAAACTTAATTTTGTTGTAGGTAAAATACTTTCTGAGAGTTATGGAGAAGTTCAAGAGTATATAGATATCTGTGATTATGCTGTTGGTCTATCAAGGATGTTACCAGGAAAAATTATTCCGTCAGAGAGGAGCCAACATATACTTATCGAAAACTGGAATCCTCTAGGAGTCATTGGAATAATAACAGCATTTAATTTTCCAATAGCAGTAAGATTTTGTAGTACATTTAGTCTACTGTTTTTTATATGCTAAACATAGAGTTTCTTGTATTTTATTCAAACCATAATTAGTCCTTAGGTGTAAGTTTTCAGTTGTAGTAATAAAATGCCCTACTGAGATTTAAAACATTGCACTGAAAATTTCTTTTAAGATACTGTTTTCTCGATTTCTTCGTTTAGTAGAATACATTTGCTCATGGAAATCTTTATGCTTCAAAACTTTCAACTCAGAAAATTTTCGAACAGTTTTAACAAACATGATATTAAGATGAAGTGCAAAATAGTTTTTTGCAGAAAATATAGCAAGTAGAAATAAAGATTTAAATTTAGAATTCAAACAAGCATCATACGCATTTTGTGTTTTCTCACATAACAAATCGCTACGAACATTCAAGAGTAACTCACAGCTTCTGTATTCACACAGTAGTTGTATGTAACACTCGCACAACGTGTCATCCCACTTAACTGATCCATACTCACTAGCCCACCCAAACAATGTATAAAGTAATTATTGCTCAAGAAATTGTTATACTAGAGTTCTAAGAATAAGGTTGTATAAACCTAACGAATTTAACATAAAGCTTGGCTCTCCTGTGTATGGTAGTGCAAGAGAAAACGCTGCAAGATGAAACCTCTGTTCATTTCTTCATCTCAATGGCCAAGCTCTCCTTCCACTTTATACTAAATAAGTGAGAGTAAGGGCCTTATTGCAGCATTTTATTTCACACTGCAACAAGCTCAAAAATATCTCTTTGCTATTTTAACTATATAGGGGATTTGGTAATACAGTAAGAGTCGGGTAGGTATGATTAGTCATCATTTTTTTATGTACTAGGGCTTAATATTCTCGTATAAGCACTGCTTAAATGTGTTATTCAGCCTTAAAAAATTAAAACATATATCTCAAGAAATAGTTTTTACACATTTGTATACATATTGCATGCTCGCGTGCTAGAAACGAATGTAAAATTGTGCAACTAATAGCGTTACTCCACGGGCCTGCCAAGCCATAAATCATTGCACACGACACTNAAAGATAAAAAAATTTTATATTGCCAACCAGATATGACTCTTTTTAAAATAATACAGATAATCTTTGCCAATTCTTTTCATCTTCAAACTCGTCAACAGAAGCATCAAGAACATGTCAGATAGTATTATGTAAATCAACAATTATGTATTTTATAAGACTAGAATACACCAAACAATGGTTGTACTCTGCACAAAATACTACTACAATACAAGTTTGGTCCGAAAATTATCCGTCAACTACACTATCAACTGAAATTAAATTACAAAATACGGGAATACTAACTATATTTTCTGTATTCTTCAGCATATTTACTTTATTTTTCTTTTCTTTTGATCAACAGTAGTCGGTTTTGGAGCCATCTTGCGCTCTTCTAACTTAAGGAATATTGTATATTTGTAAAAATTCTGACTTAAAATTCACAAGTAGTGACCACAAGAACCTCTGGTATAGTATTTTTAATATGTATATAAACTCATTCAAAAGCGTAAAACTGGATTTTAATGTCATTTTAACCAAATTTGAAGCAAATTGTGACTTATCGCGGTTTTTCAGTCGTTTCGACGCTGAATAGTGGATTGAAATTTGATAAAAAAAAAAAACTATAACACGATCCTCTACGTATTTTTTCCTGTAGAATTGAATTACAAAGTTAAAATAATTTTATTTTTATTCTGTTTATTTTTAAGTTTCGAAGAATTCTCAAAAAACCTCAAAAATTAAGGTTTTTCTTCTCATAAATCTTAAAATCTCTTGTGGAAGGCTATTTTTTTATAGCAGATTTGGACTTAGCGTCCAAAAATACGCCAGAAAGAGTATATCTGGTCAAA